AGCCCCCGTCCCAGCAGTCCCTCACAGCTCGGGGCTCGCAATCAAGGCGTTTAGAAGAGCCACTGCATAATATATGCCTTTATTGTTACATAATCTATCTTCGACTTACTGCTGGCCCAGAAAGGTCTGCATACGTTATGGTACTTATAAATTGGTCTATTGGTCAATCCCATCAATGAGTTTCTGGCAGGTCCCTCCTTGTATGTGCTCATAATTATGTGTCCTACGCCTGTCATGTCGGTGCTGTGTGTTTGCCGTCATCATGCACAGCGACGAGGCCAGGCTGCGACTGCTGCACCAGAGCCTGGCATTGCCCAATGCTATGAAATTACACATACGAGGCTTTATTACAAGCATGAGCATGACTGGCCACAACTTTGTCAAGCACTTGCAGTGCTTAAGCACAGCACAGTAATCGATGTGCTCCCCGCCAAGACCTGATAACGGCTTAATGCCTAAATTTGAGGACGATTATTGGCCAATTTACCTGATTTTGGATGCTTATTCATGCTCCGTAAACATGAATCGCATCCGAGTCGTTTCCATGCACCAGTCAATCTGCAGCAGGAGTATCCCAACAGTCACGGGTTTTTCGCTTTCATGCATCAGCACAATACCAAGGCAACGCGATGCAGAATCATGAGCCTCACCAACATTTAGCATGAGCATTGGTCTGTAAGACATTGAGATATTACCGCAATTAGGGTGCATCATTGTCCATGTGGACACTCTGTATCCACTCAACATGTACAGCTGCACCGCCCAGTGACGTCACGTATGCCAACTTAATTCAATAGACGCCGCTTACCTACTGTTGTGATACTGCCTCACGAAGGATGCCCCCACCGCTGACCAGTCCTAGTGGTCCACCACAGCTAATGGACTCGCACTTCAGTGGTTTGGAAGAACCACTGCATAACATGTCACTACATTAATACGTAAATGTCTTCGATTTACTGAGTGGAGCGCTTGCCTTGAGGCTGCACCGCCCGGTTCGCCCTTTCCTCTATGGCTTACCGTGGCATACGCATCGTGACGGCCGCCGCCCGGCTGATAGCCGTGAAACGGATCCATTGGGCGAAGGCGCCTCGCCGTGCCGCTATCACATGGGGTTAATCGCGACGATCCAAAACGCCCGGGGTCAGACGAGGTCATGAACTGAGACGGCCGGAGCCGTGCGGTGACCTGTCCGTCCGCCCCGCCCGCTGGCGGCAGCGGGCGGCGGGCATTCCTGGCAGGGCCGTCCGCCGCGCCCCGCGGCGCCCGTCATGTTTTATTTATCGGCGCGGCGGGGCGCCGCATTTGCCGCGCGGCGGCCGACCCGCCGCGGCGACGTGCGCCGCGCGCCGTGCGCCGCCGCCGCCGCCGCCGCCGCCTCCTGAGCTAATTACGGCTGGTCTGGCTGGCGACAAATGGGCAGTGCCGGCGCGAGGCTCCGGCCGAGCCCGGACGGCGGCGGAGCGCCGGCGGAGCGCCGCGACCAAGGCCGCTCATGCGTCGGCCATCCAGCCGGCCGTCCGAGCCGTCCGCAGAGGCGGCGCCGCCGCGGCCGGCCCACAGCGCCGCCGGCGGCCGCCCAGGCTCCGGGAGCTGGCCCAGGACCAGTTCCGCGTCTGCAGGCAGCCGCCGCGTCCGGCAAACTTTGGTTATCAGCGTTGTTTCCGGGTCACGTGGCCGCTGATTAAATGCTCAGCCTTGACGCCTCAGCGGGGGCACTCAGCCCCCGACGGCTCGGCGTTCGCCGCCCGCCAGCCTGCGTCGACAAATCGGAAGGCCGTGGGAGGGCGGCTTGTGTGGCGTTCCAGGCCAACCTTTCTGCCAACTCTCTGGCGACCCTGAGCGTGCTCTCGAATGTCCCGTGCCTGGCGAGCCGGTCTATTGGCTCGGCCGTCGGGCGTCACGTCACGCCACGCGCCGCGCCGTGCCCGTGGTCACGTGACCGGACGGCGGCGAGCGTGGCTCGGCGGGCGTCGTTGGTGTAGTGCTGACGACCCCGCGCACGGCGGCAGCTCCCACCCCCGATGCAACCCTAATTGGGCTCCATCGATGTTTAACTAGGTCTAAATATTTAATCATGGCCGGAAATGGCGTTTGCCCACAATTACAGGCTGGCACTAATATGCCCGGTGAATGGAAAGGTTGGTGCCGTAAAGGTCGGTTCGTTAAGCGGCTCGTAATTGGCTGGGTCTCCGGGCGACCTTATATTCACGTTGCACCGGCCTGCAGTGACGTACTTTCAGATGAATGGGCTAGCCGTCCAGCTGCCCCCCCCCCCCCCCCATTCAACTGCGAATCCAAAGGAATGGTTCGACCGGAGTTGGATTCAACTAGATCTGTTCAGCAAGCCGTGTGCATTGTATACCGAGCCCAGAGCGGGCGAAACACGGTGCGTTGCAGTGTAGGGTGATGGATGCCGCTTGCCGTGGGGGGGGGGGGGGGGGCACTTAGAGGGGCACCTCCATCGGCGGCAGACTGAAGGATCTAGGCGCACCGCAGTGTGAGCGGACACAAGAGGACACTGCAAACATTTTGTGATGCTGCCGCGCAACATCACAAAGACGTCACGAGCCTTGCCTGAGCTCGAGCTCAGTGAGAGAGCTCGCTAACAGAGCTCGCTGTTCAGCGTGGTTAGCATGCGCAGATCCGTCATGTTGCTTTCGGAGTCACGCAGAGTAGCTGATCTTTAAAAGTATCGATGCTTGAGGAGGAGCTTTGCGGTATTAGGTCTTGCAAACATTGAACAATGCGATGTTTCAACAGGAATTTGTTCGCATGTGTCCTGTTCCGCTGGGTCTATGTATCACCTTTTCCGAGGTGAGCCTCCCCCCCCCCTCGAGGGAGAGCCCGTGAGCGATCAGGTCGGATCGCTCGTGCATGCCCTACAATACAGGACATATTCTTCTGGGCACGACGGACAAAGAAAGGGCGTCACACATCCCCATTTCCACTCTCTTGGGTTTTAAAATTCGTTGTTTAAATTACCTTCATGTAACCAATAAGAAGTTAAATAGCTTGCACAGCATGCTTGGGGGGCAGTTACGGTTTATGTTGGGAGACAGGCCGCAGCTTGACTCATGGTGAATAGAGCGTCAAGTCTCCGACCGCGACGCCTGGCCACACTCACCCGCGGGGAAAACGGGGCAAAACCCCACGTGGAGAGGATGTGAGGGTGAGTGAGCCCGGCTAAGGGCTTGAACCAAAGCAGACAAGTGGAGGCCATGCAATTAATCAAGCGTAAGCGCTTAGAACGGTGATTGATGCAACTTGCATTGTGTTGATGGCAAAACCATGATTTGCATTTTACTAAACGAAGAATGCTTGGTAGTGAGCTTTTAAACGTATTCCATTCTTCGCCAGCAAACTCCAGACAGATTTCCTTGTCCCAAATTCGCAAAGGCCATTGTGGTACATAGCGTTACGTTATGCCACATTTTCACCCAGCCAGCGGAGTCTGCTGGGCGGCGCGCCCAGCCTAGCCGACAAGCTGAGCAACGTAACGAGCGAGCAACGGTAACGGATGGAAGGCGAGCTTCGGGCGGCACGGGTCAGACCGAAGCCGAGCCTCGGGCGGCACGTGTCGGTTGCGATCACGACCGTGCTGTGTCCAACCACAACAACTGAGGGGGTTAAAATCGAGCGTCGCCGAGCCCAGTCGACCATGCGAGGTTTGCCGAGTTATTGGGTCATGACGACCCAACAGGTTTCTAGGCTAGTCAGAAGATAGCGTGAGAGACATTAGGATGACGCAAATCAGCGGGTATGGGGTTTGGCTTTAAGAGGAGGTTTGATATTTGTGTGGGGTTTCGAACTGAGATAGCCATTTTGAAGATCATTTGGGGGAGTTCACAGGCCTGCTTTTCTAAGACCTAAGACTATCTGGCTTCTGAGCTACACGCCCGTGGCGATGTGCCGACTATTTCGTGCAGACTATTTCAAGGTAATTCATACATGCATGACGCCATAGCAGCGCCATTCAAATCCTGTCACCCCTAGGCCACGTGGCGTTTAAGACCAAAAAAGAGATCGTCGTAGAACCGTTGAGGTCTGGCGTTCGTGAGTACAATTTCCACTTAAAGCGGACGTCATTCGGTTCTCAACCAATGTTGAGTAGGTTGAGCAAGTCTCAAACACGAATCATGATTTGTGCCACACAATAAAGGAAGTTGGACATGAATGTTAATACGCAAATAAGGCTTGTAATCGAGTAGATTAAGAAAGGTGCCATAACTGAGCATGTGTTTACGAGTCAACCTTTTTAACTTACGGACAAATACGTAATGACACCACGAGAAAGGGTCAGAACACGAGCGCATAACGATATTTAGCTCAGCGAACACTTCCTGCTCTACCCCTGCTATCTGTCGGCGTGGGAGCACTCCAGATGAGTGCTATGGTTGCAGTGCCGCACGACTAGATTGACGGCACCTCAGCGTCATCCTGCACTACCTCTGCTACCTGTCGACATTGGAGCACTTCAGATGAGTGCTACGGTTGCAGTGCCGCACGGCTAGATTGACGTCACCTCAGCGTCATACAAACGCTCCATTAAGCAATTTAACAATGGCGAATTTAGAAGAAAAACATTTATTAGTTGAAAGATTGTGTTGTCTAGAGCAGTCTTTTCCACTTAGAAACATGTCAGTAGTTGTATGTAGCTCATTTCATATAGCTTATTTCATTAAATCTGATGATTGCTTTAATGTCTTCAAATGTGGAACCTCCCTTTCAGCGGGCGCGACGCATAGGTCGGCTCGCAGGCCACAGTACGCCAATGCCGGCTGCAAACATATAAAGGCAGCCTTTGCAGCCGATGTTTGTGTGATCAATCAATCAGTGTGCCCGCCTGAGCTGCGCAGGACACAGCTGGACCTCTCTGTTTCGTCAACGGCAGGAGCCATACGTCGGTGTCAGGCAGCAAAATAGCGCGGCGGAGGGCTTGGTTCTTGAATTACTGACCTCAGATGCCGCATGAGATCACCTCCACGGCGTGAGACAGGTGTGACAAGATCGCAAACCGAGCCGAATGACGAGGTCCCCGTGCTATTTACGGACAGCGCCAGCTTTCTGACGTGCAATCGTCTGAAAAAAGCTTTTCCTCGTACAGAAAGGAAACGAAGCCAGTGTACTGGGTTACCACGTTTTAGTCTAGACTGTCTCCTAATTAGCTTATCACTTATAGCTGTGTACCTATGTGTGTCTTTATAATCGTGGACATATAAAGCCCTTCCATTTGCCATTATCTGGTGCCAGTTCAGCAACGCTCACCGACGTTTGCCAAATGACATCCAATCGTCTGCAAGGGTCAAGAGCTGGCAATAAGCACAAATTTATAAAGGGAGGCAAAAATGCCTATTATACAGGTACGATTAGGTTTCGCGAGTTGTCCACGCCTATAAGGTGCTCCCATCCCTCCTCGCCGGCAGGTACCCAGTCCTTCCTCGCCGGCAGGTACGCAGTCCCTCATCGCCGGCAGATGCTCCCAGTCCCTCCTCGCCGGCAGGTGCTCCCAGTCCCTCCTCGCCGGCAGGTACCCAGCCCCTCCTCGCCGGCAGGTACCCAGTCCCTCCCTCGCCGGAGGTGCTCCCCCGTCCCCTCCTCGCCGGCAGGGTACCCCAGTCCTCCTCGCCGGCAGGACGCCAGTCCCTCCTCGCCGGCAGGTGCTCCCAGTCCCTCCTCGCCGGCAGGTACCCAGTCCTTCCTCGCCGGCAGGTACGCAGTCCCTCCTCGCCGGCAGGTGCTCCCAGTCCCTCCTCGCCGGCAGGTGCTCCCAGTCCCTCCTCGCCGGCAGGTACCCAGCCCCTCCTCGCCGGCAGGTACCCAGTCCCTCCTCGCCGGCAGGTGCTCCCAGTCCCTCCTCGCCGGCAGGTACCCAGCCCCTCCTCGCCGGCAGATGCTCCCAGTCCCTCCTCGCCGGCGTCCCAGTCACTTCGCCGGCAGGTCCCAGTCCCTCCTCGCCGGCAGGTGCTCCCAGTCCCTCCTCGCCGGCAGGTACCCAGTCACTCCTCGCCGGCAGGTGCTCCCAGTCCCTCCTCGCCGGCAGATGCTCCCAGTCCCTCCTCGCCGGCAGGTACCCAGTCCCTCCTCGCCGGCAGGTGCTCCCAGTCCCTCCTCGCCGGCAGGTGCTCCCAGTCCCTCCTCGCCGGCAGGTACCCAGTCACTCCTCGCCGGCAGGTGCTCCCAGTCCCTCCTCGCCAGCAGGTACCCAGTCACTCCTCGCCGGCAGGTGCTCCCAGTCCCTCCTCGCCGGCGTACCCAGTCACTGCTCGCCGGCAGGTGCTCCCAGTCCGTTCCTGCCAGCCGGTACCCCCAGAAAAGGTGCCGTATTCTGGAGGGTCTGGTTCAACCCCATCTCATCTTCCAGGAATTGACCACCGGTCCGTTCAAAAGGTGTCCAAAAAATGAGTCGTCCAAGAAGTTACAATTTTGTAAACACAAACTTATTATTACCTACAACCAAGAACTCCACTCACTACTCGCGTTGCTGCTCACCCGAATCGAACGAACCAAATGAAAAGAAGGAAAATGATGCTGGGTGGGTGAGGGTCATCTGCTTAAAGAAGTTGAGGTGCCTGCCAACGTGCAACACGACAGAATGATATGGACTGTTCAGAATATTCTAAATGTGTAGAAAATTCCAAAAATTTTGCTCCTGCTTGTTCAAATTCCAAAATGAACGCATCAAGTTTTTGGGATTCCAAAGTTTGGAATGTATTCGGTACCTGCAGCTGCCAGTCACTGTCAGCCGGTCAGCGTCCCCGATCACTCGTCGATATTCGTTTCTTCCGATTACTTCATACTGGTGGGGGTTACTTTCAACCAATCATCGCTATGCAGTCGTTCCAGTCGGCGACAGTCACACCAGATGTCGAAGCGCATTCTGATCTCCGGGAAAACTAAGCCCCATAAACCAGACAATGCCAGTGGCATCGAATCCACCCCCACCCCTACCCACCCACCTCGGCGCCAAAACCGGCATGGAACGCTCCGGGTCCCTTTATCGGTTCCTAAGGCTTCCCTCCCATTCTGAGCTCGCTCATTTCCGACCTGGCTCAGGCCGCTGCTGCCGGGCTAGGCCGCCGCCTCTAAATGCCCCGGCCGGGCCTCGGCTTCGGCGCGGCGGCGGCGCGCCCACTAATGAATTTTCCGGCGCGACCGCGTAGGCCCTTTCTACCACGGCGGCCACGGCGCGCCGCCGCCGCACCGACGCACGGGTAATAAGGGCCTACGCGACAGTGGGTGACCGCGGCCGGCCGCCAGACGGACTGGGAGCCGATCCGTTTAGCCGGGTAATTAGCAATTTGCTTGTGGTCCGAACTGGAGAGAGCGGAAGAGAAGACTCAGGTGGGGTGAGTGGCTCTCGCTTCTCTCCACTCCCTCTGGTAGGAGTGGCTGAAGTGAGCGGCATCGAGCCGAATGTGTTCCGGAGCCAGACTGCGGCATGGTGACCTGCCCCGCCAGGCTGTGGCGCACGCCGCCCCGGCCCGGCGCGCGGCCCGCCGCCGACAATAATAATAATCACCGTCGGCTCTACCGACTGGTGGGACAGACCAGTAGCGTTCCCGCTGCAGGAAACCGGCCCGCCCGGATAAGCGAGCCTCAAACTGAGGATTTATATCGCCGCTCTCTTCATGACTAAATCCGCAATAAAACCTTAGCATCGTTACTTATCTCGCGGCGTGGCCTGCGCCTCACCGGAGCCCGACCCAGCCACCCTCGGGCCATCATCACACTTATTATATTTCCGAGTTTATGTGTCATGACGGATTTAATGCCGCCCTTCAGCCCACACTTATGAAGCGCCTAAAACGGCCGTAAAACAAGGCTGGGGGCTGGTGGTCGGACCCGATGCCGGCTTGTGGGCGGTTTAGACTAGTCGGTGAGCATGGCTGAGACGCGTGACCCGTACTGGCTCCACTATCACAATAGTATTCTCGTAGCATTCGTAGAGCACGTAGTATTATAATGGCATTCACACCTGATTCAAAACACTAATCATTCGCGTCACGCTATTACCGAATTACCGCTGACGTGTTTCTGTGTCAGCAAGGCTCGGTGGCGACATTCTTATTGTCCATGAATACATTCTCCATTGTTTTTCTCGGACCGCAAAGCGCTGGAATCAGCTGGCCGGGTCGAAAGGGGGCCGAACAATGGCGCATAGAAACTTCCCGTTGTGGTTGTGGCACACGTAAACCGTCTTATGTGTTATTAAATGCTGCACTCACGACGGGCTTCATAACGCGTAGACTCTACCCTGCCGGAATAATTACCTTCTTCTCTCCATCCCACGCTAAGGCCTGTTGTAATGGCCATGCCTCGCATGTTGCTGCATCTTCAATCTCTCTCGGGTACCAATTAATGCCAAGCTCGAAGTCCACTCTGCGGCGTTCATGCCCTGAGCGTGATGACTGCCAGATGCGCCGATTGATGCCTTCTAAAACACGCACCCAGGTGGCGTGGGCCACCGGTCACGCGGGTCACCCAACAACCAGTGCTCGGGGCAAGTTTTGTCAGATGTCGGGGCAAGTTTTGGCCACGCTTTTAAAGTTCGTCGGTTCGGTGTTTGGCGTTTAACGTCAGACGTCATTTATAATACCTTTCTCCCATCGTCATGTTTCGGTTGGCCACACTGGATTCGCTGATCGGCACGCGCACCTGTTGCCGCTCGTGGCTGCCGGCCCCAGCCGTCTGTCACGAGTGCCTGCCGCTGTTCGTGGCTGCCGGCCACAGCCGTCTGTCACGCGTGCCTGTCACCGCTCCTGACTGCCGGCCGCAGCCGTCTGTCATGGGTGCCTGTCGCTGCTCGTGGCTGCCGGCTGCAACCGTCTGTCACGCGGGCCTGTCGCCGCTCGTGGCTGCCGGCCGCAGCCGTCTGTCACGCTGGCCTGTCGCCGCTCGTGGTTGCCGGCCGCAGCCGTCTGGCTGGTGAAGCAAGCCTGTCAGCGCACACCCCACACCATCAGCAGGGATGACTGTCATACTGTTCTGTTCCAGGAATGGCGTCCGCCGGTGACCCAGAGCCGGGCCGACCTCGCCTGGATGACCTCAGGTCACAGCTGACTTGCGTCATCTGCGCCGGCTACTTCATCGATGCAACCACCATCGTGGAATGTTTGCACACATGTAAGTTAATGTGCCTTGGGTAGTATAAGTTCATTTTACACCTCACAAATGTGCGTCAGGCGGTCTCACCGTGCACGAAAGACGCATTGATGATTATTTGAATTCGATTCCAAATCGCCTCACGTTACAAATTGCTACCAACAATACAGTAATGGAGATATGGTTTTTTATATTCGTGAGATAATGAAATGATATGGAATGTTAATATCCGGATGATTTGTGAGATGTCGTAAAGAATCCGATACGTGCCTGTACAAATGCATGCATGCACCCGTCACCAGACTAATGAACATTCGTCACACCGAATGGTCAGAGGAATTGTGTCAACCTGAAACTGCTTCTGTGTTAGATGCGTAAAACGTTGCGCTTTTTCATACTGTTTCATTATTCTTGGAAAATGTACCCCGTATGTTTCTTCCCTTTCACGCGAGTTTGCCCGTCATGCCGTAATAGTTCTGCAACGCTTCGGACATGGGCCCTGTGGAAGACAACTCGGCAGTAGTGGTGTTTTCAACGACGCTGGTGTTGGTGGTATGGCTCTTTGCATTACGGTCGATGGCAAAGCGCAAAAGTTGTGATATTTGATTTGCCTTTCAGTCTTTTGGCTCGAAAAAGAGCTGCTTAAAATCAGCTGCTTGTTGCCCTTTCTCGCAAAGGAAATCCAGAAAACTTTTGGAAGACCTTTTATGTTTGTGTGCATATACCTATGCCGGGAATTGCGCTAAGCCAAAAGCCTTAATGTTTAGTTGCCATGTGACGAGACGAAAATTCAGAACGCAAAAAAGCTTCTGAACCTCAACAAAGCTTGGGCAAATGGAGCATTGCAAGTTTGCGCTTTACAACCTTAATATTTTGAAATACGGTAAAATATAGAAGTGGCATTACCGCGTAATCGTCTTCCACAAGGCCGACCAAAAGGCTAAAATTGTGTGGAATTGCGACAGCGCAGATAAAACTCTCAGCAAGAATAGAATCAGGGAAGCATGCCAAAGCGTTCCACGTGTTTGACCTGATTTTTTGGGGGGGGGAGGGGAAAGTAAGGCCGAGTTAATTATAACTAGCATAAGCCTGCTGTTAGCATCGTCCATAATTGATGTAACCCTGTCTGTATGCCTGTTTTTCCACCTGATCTCTTTTTGCTGTTTTGCTATACCGCACGCCGTAGTAATGTTTTTACAATGTAGCAAAAAAAAAACGTGGGTGAAAAAGAAAAGGTCACATCTGTCCATCTACAACTCCGGCAAAAATCGCTTCGCTGGAGACAGAGGGTAAGACAGCTTGCTATGGTGCTGCACGAGATCAGTTTCGTCGCCGGACCCAGACGTGGCGGGTTTCGGCCAGTCTGCCTTTGGGCCAAGGATGGCCAGACCATTTGGGAGTCGCGCAGCGGCCATGGCAGCGCGGGATCCGACAAAAAGGCCTGCCAGATGTCGGCCGCCGGCGCCAGCTGACTGAGGCTGGCCGCTAAAATCGGTCAGCAGCAAACCGAACGAACCCTGTACAATGGATGGAATAGGGGGTGCGCTGGGCAGGGGTGACGGTTCGCTCCTTTTTTTGCATACATTGCATTCACGATATTTTGGCGCCGAATGGGCACGAACATTTCGTGGTGAGGGGGCATCAAAAACCTCATTGCTCCTTTTTCAAGACGCTCCAAAGTTCAGGGGCACCCCCAACCGTCCCAAATATTAAAATTCAACGTACAAAATAGCAGAAAATCTACCTCTACCAATGAAGAAAACTAAATCCGGCGGCCCATTCCGGCGGAAGGTATTTTACCCATTCAAAAATGAGATCTGAAAATAAAGCGGCCAAAATCCAGGGACTTCTTTGTGAGCGGGGCGCCAAGTTCCGGGGGACACCACAACGAAGCGTGGCTGCTCCCTTAACGAAATTCTTGAACCACCCGTGTTGGTCGGCGCAGACGGATGTTTTTGTTTCTGGTAGATAAGTGGCAGTGATGTCATGCTAATCTGAAATACACAGCATTGTACTGTGCCCTTGATACATCTTCCGATGAGGGGATTCACCATCACCTATCTATATGATTCAGTAGCCGCTTGCCAAGAGACACACAGGTGATGTAGCATGAATAGTGCACACTCCAGATGTGTCAGGTTATTATACTGGTGTGTGGCAAATAGGGATCGAGATGTGCTACCGATGTGTGCCCGATCACCGAGACGACGTCATTAGACACACAGGAAATGGAATTGAGTTATGATGGACTCCAACGGTATCAAGCATTAAAAATCTTAGCAAGCCCTTGGACGTCTTCAGCTTTGCCCCCCAATTTCATCACAAAAGCACGTGGGTGCGACCGGAGGTTTGGCCACCACTAGTTGACCGGCTGCGGGGCGCACTGCGTGCGGAGCTGGTTTGTTTGGTCCTGTGGCCTCGTCTGCCGAGCCGACAGAGTGCCTGACCTCGGCCGGGCCCGCGGACAGGTGCAGTAGGTCACCGTCTGCCGAGCCGACAGAGTGCCTGACCTCGGCCAGGCCCGCGGGCAGGTGAAGTAGGTCACCTTCTGCTGAGCCGACAGAGTGCCTGACCTCGGCCAGGCCCGCGGACAGGTGCAGTAGGTCATCGTCTGCCGAGCCGACAGAGTGCCTGACCTCGGCCGGGCCCGCGGACAGGTGCAGTAGGTCACCGTCTGCCGAGCCGACAGAGTGCCTGACCTCGGCCGGGCCCGCGGACAGGTGCAGTAGGTCACCGTCTGCTGACAAACAATGGCGCGTCTGGGGCGGCAGGCGGCGCGCACAAACAATGCATCGCGTGCGATCAAACAGACGCCGGTCCGAGAGGCGCGGCGCAAACAAGGACACGGGGCGGTAGGCGGGCGGGCGGGCGTCACGGCTGGTGCCGGTGCCGCCGCGCGCCACCAGTGTCGCCGCGCCGCTTCTGTCGACTGCGCCGAGTCTGCGCCACTCTGGCCGAGCGTGCGAGCTCACCGATTCGTGTCAAGGCGCGCGGGGAAGGCCGGCAGTCCTGAGGTGTTGCGCGCTTAGGTCCGCACACAGGGCCTTCATCATCGGAGCCATCCTCGCTTATTAGCGACGTGTGTTCTGACCAGGACTGGCGGGAACTGGAATACTGCTAGCGACGGATATAAATTTAATATATTTTTTCATGTCATCCATTTCAGCGTAGTTTAAAGCTCCATAAGGGCCGGGCTGTCCAACGTGTGACAGAGTTTTCATGTTTTTTTTTTGTGGCGCCATGGTAAGAAAGCCCATGGACATAATCCAAAAAAAAAAGATCTAGTCTCTGATAGTCTACCGCCTTGGATGGATTGATCCACGAGTAGGCTGACCAAGGCAGCACTGAGCTTCCCCCAGACGTACCAGACCATGCCATACCCCAAAGGAGGCCGGCATCCCGTCGTAAGACTGAGGTCGCGCCTCCTGTACTGTATGCCCACGCCACGTACCCGCTGCCCCAGTTCTGTTGACACGCGGGATTTACAGTTGCCTCTGCACAGCCTCTCTGACCTTCCCGATGATTTCCACGCGACACACGCGACCCTCCACGCCGCCCGCACGTGGTGCGGCCCACGTCACGGACACGTGGCCATGCCCACGCAGTGCCGTCGCGGGTCGGCGGCCGGCATCGATTCGATAGCAGCTCCGTCATGATGACGTCACTCGGGCGCACAGCGGCCCTCCCGCCCTCGGACGATTCGCTCGGCCTAAGTGTTTTGCCGGCGCGACAATTTGACCAGGGACCGCCTCCGACGTTTATCCACTGAAGGACGCCCTTGCTGACGCCAGCAGGTACTGGCATTGCGCTCGCCCTGTTATATGGCTGTCAAGTCCGGCTAGTTAGTTAATCAGGTCGATTTCTAGCCCTGGAAGCCAGCTGTTTTCCCAGGGACATCAGACCTGCATCCTTTCCGTAAGGACGCGGGAACGGGGGCGGGGGGGGGGGGGGAATAGCGGGGAAACTTGCCCCTCTCCAACTTGAAAGCTGGAGTGGCGGCGCTCCCCCCCCCCCCCCAACGTGGAGGGTCCGTGGAGGGCCCATTTTGGCATGTCGAGGGCCCATTCTGAACTGTAAAGGGGTTATGTAAGCCTGTAAAAGTCCAGTCTGACCTGTCCAGGGCTCATTCCGGCCAAAAGAGGGCAATTTGAGCATGGAAAGGGCCCGTTTTGACCTGTAGAGCGTCCATTATTGACTGGAGGGCTCATTCTAGCCCGATTGGCTGTGGGAAGTCTATTCTGGCTTGTAGAGGGCCCGTCATGGCCTGGGATGGCTCCAATATTGGCTGCAGAGAGCAAATTTGACCTGTAGAGGGCCCATTCTGGTCTTCAGAGGGGCTTTCTGACCTGAAGAAGGTCTATTACCAACCGTGGAAGTTCCATTCTGAGAGGGGGAGAGGGCTCTGACCAGAAGAGGGCTCATTGTTGACCGATTGTTGACCGTGGAGAGCTCCTTCTGACCTGTAGAAGGCCCATTTTGACATCTAGAGGGCATATTATCGACCATGGAGGGGCCATTCCGACCTGTAGATGGGCTCATTCAAGCCTGCAGAGGGCCCGTTCTGGCCTGTAAAGAGCACACTATGGTCTAACGGGGCCCATTTTGAACCGTACAGGTTCATTCTGACCTGTAGTTCATAGTGGGCCTATCTGACCTGTAGAGGGCCCACAATTGACTGTGGAGGCCCTAATTTGTCTTACAGAGGGCCTATCTAAGCCGCATTAGGGCCATTCTGACTTGAAGAGGGCCATTATTGACTTGAAGGCACACTCTGGCCTGTAGAGGACCCATCCTGACCTGTGTAAGGCCCATTCTGGCTTGTGAGGGGCCCACTATCTAGGTGTAGGGGCCTTATTTTGACATTTTGGAATTGACTCCCGAAGTTTAACAAAGCTCCCGCGCCCTCGCCTTCCGTCTTGCAACGAAGCCACGCTTTAAAGGTAGAACAGGATGCTGCTTCTAATTCCACCGAAGCCTGATTAGTTAGATTCCTACATCATTCCCGACAGGATGTGTCGCGTGACTGTACCCATGTCTCAGCCCTTACAGCACCGGAACATAGGTGACAAAGCGCTATCAATCGACCGGTGTCACCATTACTGATACAGCCATCATCACGCCCATCCCACTGGCAGTCCCAATAAATAACCCCAAATTTGGGTGCTGGCGCTACCCTCCAACTTTATTGTTTTAAATTTAGCTATGCATTTAGTCCCAATGGGGCTCTCTCGCGTGTGAGCATTATCTATCTTCCAGCCTCTCCCCCTTCCCCATTCCCTTTCGGCGCCTGTGCTCCGTTGCTAGGACCAGTCAGGGCCGGGGAGATCCTCCACAGCACCGGCACTCGCTGCGGAGGTGGCGGCCGCCTCCGGTTGTTGGGGCCAGTCAGGGCTCATGAGATCCTCCACAGCACCGGCACTCGCTGCGGAGGTGGCGGCCGCCTCCGGTTGTTAGGGCCAGTCAGGGCTCATGAGATCCTCCACAGCACTGGCACTCGCTGCGGAGGTGGCGGCCGCCTCCGGTTGTTAGGGCCAGTCAGGGCTCATGAGATCCTCCACAGCACCGGCACTCGCTGCGGAGGTGGCGGCCGCCCCCTGTCACTCGCTGCGGAGGTGGCGGCCGCCTCCGGTTGTTAGGGCCAGTCAGGGCTCATGAGATCCTCCACAGCACTGGCACTCGCTGCGGAGGTGGCGGTTGCCTCCGGTTGTTAAGGCCAGTTAGGGCCGGTGAGATCCTCCACAGCACCGGCACTCGCTGCGGAGGTGGCGGCCGCCTCCGGTTGTTAGGGCCAGTCAGGGCTCATGAGATCCTCCACAGCACTGGCACTCGCTGCGGAGGTGGCGGCTGCCCTCCGGTTGTTAAGGCCAGTTCAGGGCTCATGAGATCCTCCACAGCACCGGCACTCGCTGCGGAGGTGGCGGCCGCCTCCGGTTGTTCAGGGCCAGTCAGGGCTCATGAGATCCTCCACAGCACCAGCACTCGCTGCGGAGGTGACGGCCGCCCCCGGGTGCGAACCTATGCGTAAAACTGTTTACATCATTAACGATTTCTTTTAGACGATGGGATGGAGGTGGCCCAGATTTACACAGTCTGTGTCGACATTAGCGCCAGCATCATCAGCTTTAACACATACGTTCATAACATTGCGGTTTTCTTTTAGGCCGTGAAGACCGCCTTTGATAAGTTTCATGGTGTTTATTTAGGATAAAGCCTCAGCGTAAATATCATTAATATCGTCGGAGGGGCACACCCGACAGAGGAGCGGGCGGACAGGCAGGCGGGCGTCCTGCCGTCTTTCAATGCGTTGCTTACATGCGGGTGATAATGGTCGTGCCTTTGTTGACTGCATGCACTTCCCAGCAATATTATCGGGTATTTGCTCGTACTAATGCAACCCGAGGATACACCACTCTGCAGAACACCTTACTGAGAAACTGGCCGAGTTTCCACGGCCGGGGCCTCCCCAGTCTGCCGACGCCTCCCCGCTGTCTGTCGCTGCTCTCCGTGCTCCGTCCCCACCGTGTCGGCCGGGCAGGGGGCAGCGCTAATGGTCATTTGTTTAAAAGCCTCGCGTGGGCGGCCAATGGGTGTGACTGGCGGCCGGGGTGCGGCGCGTCCCGTCTGTCCTGTTTGTGCGGGCGACAGGGCTCGGCCGGCAGCCGACCCGGCCACCGGCGCCACTGACAGTTGACTGGGGAGCGAGCCAGAGCTCGTGTCCCTGCAGGTCAGAACAGAGCGGGGAATGTGGAGCGGTCACTGCACCCAGCACAAATATGAAAACATGTACGTGATATTCAGCACTGAAAGCGCGCAACAATCATCATAACCGTCAAGCATAACAGCGGTAACATGTCGGCGTTGCGGTTACCACGAACACATGTGGCCATGAGGTGGCGAGGGATTGTCAACGCCACGTGTTCTGCAGCAACAAAACAAACAAAACAAAACTTCGTCTATCGGATGACGGCCTAAACGAACCGAAGTGACGTGGGGAATTTGTGCCGAGCTCGTACGGGCTTGTCAGCGACACATCTGCGAATTCATGCTTTCATGGAAACCCATACCCATCTTCACTGTGATCAGGCACGTATCCGGAATTTTCCTCAGTGGGTAAATGTCAAATTCTCTCCGAAATTTGACTAAATCATTGCGACAACGTGCTGATTTCTGATGATCCTCTTGGCTCAGGGACGGGGGCATGACCCGTGACCCCCTTGGCTATATCCCCGACTATGCTTACCCTCGTGCTCACACTCCCGCGCCAGTCCTGCGGTGAAAGGAAGCCAGCGGGACCTCTTCGGCCCACAGTCCGGCTGGTGGCGTCGGCTGCCCTACCTCGGCCACCGCGGCACGACCGTTCCCCGCCCGGCCCCCAGCTGCAGCCAACGGCCGTCACCGCAGCCGGGCGCGCGCGCGCGCGGCACGTGCGCAGGCCGGCCGGCTGCACGTGCCGGCGGCACGTGGCGGCACGCGGCGTGCCCGGCCGGCTGCCGAGCCTGTCGTGGCTAATTGGTTGTGATGACCGGACGCTGGCGGCGGCGGGCCGCCCGCAGCGGCGGTTATGGCGCGGCTCCGATCGTTGCGGCACTCGGCGACCGCTAAATTGCCGGTTCGGCTGCCGGGAAGTATCGGACCAACCTTTTAGCGTGCCCTTCGGTCGGCAGCGCGTGCAGCGGCCTGGAAAAGCTGCCGTCTTTTAAAGCGTTGTGATCGAAGGAGGATGGTGAACTTTTTAATTCGCGGGTATTCAGTAATGATTCGAAGATGGAGGCCGCGTATTCCACACCAACCAGAGCGCGATCAGCAGTCAGGCTTCCCGTTCTCACGGCCCCCTTCGCTGTTTGTGATCCATCACAAGCATTCCCATCAGTACTATTCACAACCCATCACGAGAATCCATCAGCGGCTCAATTGATTGCGCCTCCATAGAGGCTCTATAGTTGGGATAGTGAACAGCCGGCTTAATGACCCCCGTCACCGGTCATCGGCGGCGAGCAGCTTGTGTGGCCCCACGGTGGCGCGGAGGTGTGCCACTGGCGGCGCGCGGCTTTGTGACCTCATGGTGGCATGGAGAACACGCTACTGGCGGCGCGCAGCTTTGTGACGTCACGATGGCGTAGGGGCTACACCACTGGCTGGTGTTGTCACCAAATTAAGTGAAAAACAATTTAAGTCAACTGTAGGATAGCCGTTGCACTTACTTTCAAGACAAGTAGAAGATTGAGATCATAATAGGATCATCATCAACATTAGAGTTGGTGTCTTCTTCAGAGATGCATGAATGATCTTCAACCATTTATCACGTTAAGATACGCGTGAGATCTTTCTGACAAGACCTCCTCCAGTTGTAAATGCATGCATACGGCTCGTTTATCATCTAGTAGAATGCAAACCGGGTTCACATGCTTGCGCTCACGCTACCGAAAAGCCACGAGCTGGTGCGCTGCTGCCACCCATCTCAGCGCGCTGGTCCATCGGACTTCGGATCGGTGGTAGGAGGCGGCCCAGCCACGGCGGATTACCCGACGGTATCGCGGCGCGCTGGTGCTGCTGCCACCCATCTCAGCGCGCTGGTCCATCAGACTTCGGATCGGTGGTAGGAGGCGGCCCAGCCACGGCGGATTACCCGACGGTATCGCGGCGCATTGTTCAGTGGCCCACTGAATAATTAATGCTACCCAGGCTGGGCCACCGTGCTGCAGCTTGTTTGCAAGACTTTCTTCGTGAGCTCGCACAAAAATACAACCGGCTGCGACGCAATTGCAGGCCGCCGTGTTGCTCGTTTGGAGTTTAGTTCAGTTTAACGACGGCGGTTTTTATAGACGGCAGCGGATCAGTTCACACGAGCTGGTATCGACCAGTCAGAAACGAGCCGCGCCGGGCTGACCTGTCGAGGCGAACGGTCGGTCGCTTCCATGCAGGCCTGTATCTAGTGTTGCCACGTGACGAGACCGGGGCTGACCTGCCGAGGCGAACGGTCGGTCGCTTCCATGCAGGTCTGTATCTAGTGTTGCCACGTGACGAGACCGGGGCTGACCTGCCGAGGCGAACGGTCGGTCGCTTCCATGCAGGTCTGTATCTAGTGTTGCCACGTGACGAGACCGGGGCTGACCTGCCGAGGCGAACGGTCGGTCGCTTCCATGCAGGTCTGTATCTAGTGTTGCCACGTGACGAGACCGGGGCTGACCTGCCGAGGCGAACGGTCGGTCGCTTCCATGCAGGCCTACATGTGGTGCTGCCACGTGACGAGACAGTGACGGCAGTCGGTCTGCCCGCCCGCCGGGCCACTGACAGACAGCCGCTCCTGACGGGACCTGGACGGACTCGCTTTGCCATCCGTGTGTGACGTCCTCCGCAGTGGCGAGTTCGGACGCAACTGGTGGCCGCCGGCCGACTTCAAGAATGAGAAACCCGCAGCAAACGACCCGACTTAGACCGCGGCAACATGAATAATGCACGTCCGAGCGGGCAATTTTGGCGCCTAAAATCCGACGTTGTGAATGTCTGAGCGTCCAGCTCAGCAAGAATGCAACACTTATACGGAGACGTGCTTGAAATTGGTTTGTCATGAATATTTGCGGCTTTATCTATCCAATCTGTGTGTAGTTTGTTCTCCGACCGGACGGCTGTGGTGAGATCATTCCATGGATACGCTGCTCCAGTACCTCAGAAATCTGTGGCGAGTGGTCAGCTCGAGACTTTGTGCGCCATCGGTGAATACCTGTGCTCATCTCATCCCTCTGTTTTCAGTTTGCCGGTCCTGCATCTTGCGACACTTGGAGGCCAGCAGTTACTGTCCTGTGTGTGACGTTATGATACACAGGACCAAGGGCTCCTCTAGTCTCAAGTAAGGCTCATGACTGCATGCGTTTGCTTGTGAGGGCGTTGGAAGTTGAGGCCGAATGTTATTGGCCATTGGGTGATAGTAATGGTCTATGACATACCTTGCGGGCTCTGCAGTTTGGGAATGTGCAACCGTAACTCCTGCAATTTGCGAAGTCAGCTGTTTGACACGAGTGGGAATGTACAAGCCTGGTTAGAAAGGGCCTCGCACAGTCTTATGAATTTTTTTTATGGAGGGGTACTCACCTTAACTTGTATGCTACCAAAAGCTTGCACATAACACTGCATTTCATACCAGAGACCTGATTTATCCGCTCACAATGATGCGTTCAGGTCCTAAAGGAAATCGCGCGACGTTAAAGCGCACAAACTCACGATCAGGCCCGTGTTCGATAAATATTTTGAGATGCAATTTGTTATTGATTCATGACCGATTTTGAACGATTCAGTTCTGATTTACATTATGATTCTTATAAGAGTCAAATTATTCCCAACTCACACTCCAGTTTAGCCATTCAGATTCAGATCAACTGATCATTTCTTACTTTGCTAAGCGATTCGTCATTGATTTATCCGTGGGTAAAGCCAGTAACCACTTGAAGTGGGATTTTTGGCGCACCAATCTTGTCAGAATGGGATTTTTTCCTCATCAAATGTTGCCCTTACAACGCATTTATTTGTATTTGGTTGTCCACAGATCACAATTTGCTCCCGGTCCCAATCCCGATATTTTCCCCAATTTTAGGGGCATAGCTTCATCCATGGCTGCATACCGCGCTCAGCGATTCCGCACTGATTTTCACACTTCGTAGCTAAAACACGATTGATTCTCAGTCAAGATGGATTACATTTTAGACGGGGTTTCAGGAGAAGGAGTGCTGCCAATTAGTTGTCAAGATTATCGATTTCGGCACTGATGTCTGCTTCTTTGGAAGTTTAAAATCAAGCCTCTGAATCCAGCAAATTCGGTTTGCGTGGATCATGGCTCACTGAAGAATGCATTAAAAAACGCATACCGTATCCCGCATCTATCCTCAATTGTCAAAAACTCGCGTAGTAAAAGCAAAAACCAGAAACCCTGCATGATCAACTATCAAAATCATGAAATAGATGTGAAGATAAGATTAGGTACTTGAAGAGAGACTAATTTTATTGCCTTTGGGCAGTCGCATCGTACAGTAGCAATGCTCTTTTTCTACTGAAAGGCCAGACAGAGGCAAGTAGGTCTTTTCAGCACAAGAGAAAAAAGACATGATACCTGCTGGTACTAATGGCTTCATCTTACCGTAATCTGGTTGCCCGGTAATTTATGCCTAATGCTAGTTGCTGGTGTGCAGTCGTTGAACTTGAGGAGGCAGTTATTATTTGGTTGTGGGATTTCAATCAATTTAGGGCTTATTGGATGTGGCTTTGGTATAATAGGAGAAAGCTGTGATGCATGCGCAGCTTGATGAGTGACATCACTTATCACTGGATAAGTGATAAGTGATAAGGTAGAGATGGCACCTAGGTCAATATTTAGGTAAGCGTTTTGTCTGGTATGACAGCCTTTGTCAGTAAGGCACCATTGGTAAGCACTGTGCTGACAGGGCTTGATGGAGCATGTCGAACTCCGCTTGTCCAAATCAAACAAGAGGATAATTTGTGTACAAATTTGTGAACAATTTATGAAATCGTTTCATTTAGTCCTCGCATAAACTGTGCAGTCCAGATCGACTCTTACTCGCAGGGAAAACTGTTTGCGTCACGACTTGCGTTTCAAAGCAAACTATTTGCGTCACGACTCACATTGCGGGGCAAGCTAATTGCGTCACGACTCACTAAAAGAAAAAAGCCGAATCACCTGTGCCTCATCCGAAGGTGGTGTGATTCACGAATCGTTGGTGGATTTATCTTGAAAGAAACACAGGCCTGCTCACTACCCATGCAGCTCAACTGACATATCCTTTCTGCTTTATTTCATGGTAATGACGGCAATGAACACTTAAGAAACCCAATAATGATAATCGACCTGCAATATACGGGAATGTAGGTACAAGCGAACATCAATATATCAATGATACCCACTCGAACATCATACGAGGAGATAAGTACAAGCGACATCAAGATATCAATGATACCCACTCGACAAGTTAAATAAAAATTTGAAAAAAATAACAGCTAATAATATTTCACAGGACATAAAATAGCTTTTTAATCATATCGATCATAGCATTTTGTCGCACAAGCATCTCTCGTGAGCTTTATGTTGGATTCGTCTCAACGGAGCTCGTGCTGTCGGGGGCTGCTTCGGGTTTTTTTCTGCCCGCCTGTCAGACAGACAGCGCCTACCGACATGACGTCGGTGTTCGGCCTGTTCCAACCAATCAGCGCCACACAGAGATCTAATCATCACCAGGCTACAAGACAAAAAAAAAGCAGCGGCATCTGCTGATCCGCGCAAGATAGACGCCGCCAGCGCAGCCTTTATTTTTGTGCGTTGATGCTCGATAACTCAGGAATAACTATAATCGAAAATATCTCAGGAAGATTGTCATTAGTTTTTGGCTACGACGCCTCCGCTGCTCGCCATCCGCGTGAAGCAGAGAAGTCGACGCCTCCGCTTCTGGCCATCCGCGTGAGGCAGAGTAGTAGGGCCCATGCCCACCATAATGCTCAATGCCCATTTAACGACTTTTGACATTAACCGCTCGCCAACTTTGTTTGCATTTTGATGACTCACGGTGAGTAAAGTTACATGCTGCTCTCCTAAATCGCATCTTTCCTGATGCCTGTACGCCATCCCGATGCCTAGTTAAAATAAACGGAGCGCCATGATCATCAGCCACGGCCAGACGAACCCGTTGGACCAAACGGGTCAACGTGCAGCAACTGTACCCCAACCACCCATCGGTGCCGAAAACCGCCCAATCTGTCCAAGTCACGGAAAGGTTTTAACCAACTTAAGACAATGTGTCCCACTTTCTTCCAGGGCAGACCGCATTCTTCAGACCATGGTGTACAAAATGATTCCCGGCCTGTTCAGAGGCGAGATGAAACGACGGCGAGAGTTCTACCAGATGAAGCCGTACGCAGGTGAGCCCACGGAGCCCGTCGAGGCCGGTGTGCACCACCCTGCGCACCTTCTGCGCCCATCCGCATCGGCTGACCTCCTCCGCTGTCCATCAGCGCAGGCTCACGTCCTCCGCTGCCCATCAGGCAGGCCCACCTCCTCCGCTGCCCATCAGCGCAGGCTCACCTCCTCCGCTGCCCATCAGGCAGGCTCACCTCCTCCGCTGCCCATCAGCGCAGCCAGTCGCCTGCTGAGCGGCACGCCTGCTTTACAGCATTCGATGCGCGTTGTGTATGCTAATGCCAGCGGGCGCCTGGGTATCGATCGCGCCAACACGTGGGCGCACTTTGGGGACGTTCACCGGCGGTCCGGCCCGCGCGGCAGCTTATTTCGAACGAGTACCACGTGCTCAATTTGTGGACGACTCTCTGGAACAGACGAGGCAGATCAAAACAGGACGAAATGATTGGACAGGGCCTCGCGTAAGCGCTGTGCATGATCGGAGCCAAACATGTGGTGTGGTGTGTGCAAATGCGAGCGGGTGAGCGTTTCCGGCCGGTCTTTTCCCCCTTGTGCATCGAGAGCGCAGCAGCATAATGAGGAAGCTCGTCTGCTGCTGCTGCTCCCTCTCTCATTCTTTCTCTCTCTTTCTTTTTTTTCTTCTCTCTCTCTCTCTTTCTTTTTTTCTCTCTCTCTTTCTCTCTCTTTCTTTTTCTCTCTCTCTTTCTCTCTCTCTTCTCTTCTCTCTCCTCTCTCTCTCTCTCTCTCTCTCCTCTCTCTCTCTCTCTCTCTCTCTCTCTCTCTCTCTCTCTCTCTCCTCTCTCTCTCTCTCTCTCTCTCTCTCTCTCTCTCTCTCTCTCTCTCTCTCTCTCTCTCTCTCTCTCTCTCTCTCTCTCTCTCTCTCTCTCTCTCTCTCTCTCTCTCTCTTCATCTATTTCTATCACTGCGCTGAAGGGATCCTGCGAGACATACACGTGGCCTGGCATGGCCACTCTGTCTGACTCTCCCCCTGAGTTGTTGTTGCTACTCTGTGCTCGGTCCACGCCTGGCTCTGAGCTACTCCACACTCGGTCCGCTTCTGACTCTGAGCTGGGGCCGCCACTCCGCGCTCGGTCCACTCCTGATTGGGCTCGGTCCACTCCTTACTCTGAGCTGGGGCCGCCACTCCGCGCTCGGCCCGCTTCTGACTCTGGTCCGCGTCTGACCATGGCTGGAACCGGCTCTAACCCGGCTCCGCCACCCCGGCTGACACCGGCCGTGGCTTGGCGCCGTCTAACGCTGACTCGGAGTCGCGCCGACGGGTGGACCGGCCGGCCGGCGGACGGCGCGGCGGACTGATGTCACGGCGTTGGGCGGCACGAGCGAGACACGTGACTGGCCAGCCGCCGTGCAGGCCCTTCAGATGCGGCGGCAGATACGACGGCGAGACGACACGCGCCGCGACCGTCGGGCCGTCCTGGAGCGTGGCCGGAGAGCGGCCCCCCAGACGGTGCCAGCCGAGGACGACGGCACACACTAGGGAGCCTAGCGCCGGGCTTCGATCGGTCCCGTGACTGACACAGACCCGGCACCCGTCCCTGCGGTCCCCGCCCTTGCTGCCAGGATGAGATGCATGCGATGCCACACGGCCTCAACAGCTGAGTGCGTCGTAAAGTCCCAATGACGACAGCAGACCGACACCCGGGACTGCGATAGAGAGCAGGTGTGGAGCCCATTACTTTTCTGGCGCCGGTGCCAGATTACTACGACAGATTCCGTGGTCCATTCATACGATATAGTTATGTACTTAATGAGCATGATGCAACCCATCACCTTAAAGCTGTCACGGATCCACGGTCCCATGGGCTGTTATGGGTGCCACTGATCGGTAGGTCTGGCGGTAGCGTCGCAGCTGGTACGGCGCGCCGCACCCTCGCGACGTGAGGTCACCTCCCCCACCACTGGACCGGCACAGGGGGCGGCCGCTCACAAAGATCGTGCCGCGCCCAGGGCCGGCCGCGCGACCGACGTCCCGCCGCTTCACGAGCCACGCTCACAACAAGGCCATCTGTGTGTGTCGGTGCCGCCGCCGCAGGGCGCCGCCCGAGACGTGCTCCGGCCACCGACCGACGCTGCACGGCGTGCGTCGAGACCGGCCGCCCGCTCCGCGCTGGCGCCGACGTAAATCAGTGCAGTGGTCGTCGCTGTCATCTCCTCGGTCTTGAGCATGTCCTCACGTCCAGGGGTCCCGGGGTTAAACGGGATCTTCTTCAGGTGGCCCATCTCCCCGCGGGGTCTCCTCGGCGTGGTCTCCTCTCCACTGGACTTCACCTTGACTTGTTATTCCCGTCCACCCTTCCAGGTCATCCCTCCACCAAACCCCATCCACATATGACTTCATCACATCGCTCCCACACCCCTTAGGCGCGCTGTCTACACTTTTGACCTACCCGTCCCAGACCTCCTCTTTACCGGACTCTTTCCAGGCCTGCCCTCACGGGACCCCTCCCAGTCCCCTCCTACATCTGATCCTTTTCAGGCCTCCCCCGACCAAAACCCTCCTAAACATCCTTTCCGCCTGACCTTCCTCGAGATACCCTCTTCGTCATCCCCTTCCTAGACCTCTGTATCGTACCCCTTCTTATACACCCTATTGCACCGGAAACATTTCCATACCTCGTCTTCACCAGACATCCTCCAAGACCTCCTCTGCGTAGGCCCCTCCAAGACCCCTCCACGGGCCCCCTCCCAGATCTCCTCTCCACGGGCCACTCCCAGATCTCCTCTCCACGGGCCCCTCCCAGAACTTCTCTCCACGGGCCCGTCCCAGTTCTCTCCACGGGCCCGTCCCAGTTCTCTCCACGGGCCCCCTCCCCCCCCGACCCCTCCACCATCCCCTCCCAGACCTCTCCACGGGCCCCCTCCCAGACCCTCCCTCCACGGGCCCCTCCAGATCTCTCCACAAACCCCTCCCGAACCTTCTCTCCACGGGCCCCTCCCAGAACTTCTCTCCACGGGCCACTCCCAGAACTTCTCTCCACGGGCCACTCCCAGAACTTCTCTCCACGGGCCACTCCCAGAACTTCTCTCCACGGACCACTCTCCCCCCCCCCGACCCCCCTACCGTCCCCTCCCAGACCTCTCCACGGGCCCCCTCCCAGACCCTCTCTCCACGGGCCCCTCCAGATCTCTCCGCGGGCCCCTCCCAAACCTTCTCTCCACGGGCCTCTCCAGATCTCTCCACAAGCCCCTCCCAAACCTTCTCTCCACGGGCCCCTCCCAGACATCCTCTCCGGCAGCACGCGTGGCGCAGCGGTGACTGCCAGGTCGTGGCCGAGGTCGCCGCGACAAATTATCGGTTCGGCGACCGTGGCGTCCGCCCCATTGTTCGTGGGGCGCGCGGCGGCGGCGAGAGCGGCGCGGCGGCGGCGAGAGCGGCGCCAGCGCAGCTCTCCATTGTGTTGGGTCACGCCGGCCTCAGCCACCGGTCAGCGACCGGCGGCGGCTGACACCACGCTGAAGGGTGGCTGGGCTGAAGGTAGCTGAGCTGAGGGCGGCTGAACTGAACGGTGGATGAGTTAAAGAGTGCCTGAGCCGAATAAAGCTGAGCTGAAGGGTGGCTAAGTTGAAGGGTGGCTGAGCTGAAGGTTGCTGAGCTGAAGGGTGGCTGAGTTGAAGGGTGGCTGAGCCGAGAGGTGAATAAGGTAAGGATGGGCTGAGGTAAACGGTGGGTGAGCTGAAGAGTGGGCCATGTGAAGGGTGGGTGAGCTGAGGGGTGGGTGAGCTGAAGGATAGGTGAGCTGGGGGTTGGGTAAGGTGAAGGGTAGGTAAGCTGAAGGGCGGGTGAGCTGGGGGTGGATGAGGTAAAGGATGGACCAGGTGAAGGCTGGGTGAGGTGAAGGGAGTCCGAGTTGGTGGGCGGATGGGCTGGCTGGTAACCCGTACTCGTTTCATCCATCAGCTCAGTGCCAGTTGTGCCGTGCGACATGTAGCTTAGCTCTCAGGAAGCTAGCTCTCAGACAACTGAGCAAGGCGTATCACCTCTGGGAGCATCGAGCTAGTCAGCTGACCCGTCCATGAGTTAGCTGGTACCATGAGCCCGATGTGGCCACGTAATTGTGGTTCCAGCTTTGTTTTACGTCGAATTCATCATCGCTGAATATTCGTACCGGATGACGGCCGGTACGAATATTCAGCGATGAAAAAAAAAAAACGCTAGACCGGTAACCGGACTTGAATCCACGGCTCAGCGTGCGGCCGGAGGTGAAGACTGTACCAACCGTGCTTCGCCGTCCCTCCGCCACCTGGGTCCAGTTCCTTTTTGGCAAATACCTACCCGAGGTAGCTACTAAGATGACGCAAGTGCCTACGTCACGCGTATGCAACTATGCTCAAAGGCGTAGAAACTGTTGTGACGCACTTACCTGCCATGTCGTAAGTTGCGACCTGTGGACGGCATTTGACCACGGGAAACGCGGCTCTGATGTCGGATGATACCAAACACACAAGGAGTGAATAGCCAGTCACGGAGCCCTCCTGGCGTTGCTGGCTGGAGGCTAGGGATGGTCGCTGGCCACTGCCGGCACCTGTCCTTCTTCATCTGACCGTTCTCCTGCCAGCCAGAGCCCTTCATTTTCGTCGCATGTGGCTGGAATGGGCCGTTATGTACGCCGCCTGACAAACGACGGCGATAAATCGCCGAGAAGCGAGCCTCCAGGCCGCCGGATCGTGGCTCGATTGGGCAAAACTTGGTCTGAGCGGTTCCCATCGGGCCGCGCGGCGTCCGTGGAGGAGTGCTACTAACACTCGGCCGGGGAGACGGCGGGGCGTGGAGGAGTGCTACTGACGCTGGGCCGGGGAGACGGCGGGGCGTGGAGGAGTGCTACTGACGCTGGGCCGGGGAGACGGCGGGACGTGGAGGAGTGCTACTAACGCTGGGCCGGGGAGACGGCGGGGCGTGGAGGAGTGCTACTAACGCTCGGCCGGGGAGACGGTGGGGCGTGGAGGAGTGCTACTGACGCTGGACCGGGGAGACGGTGGGGCG